AGCGCTAATTAAAGCTCCCCTCTTCTTTGAAGCCAGAATCATTGATTTTACTAAGGTTTTGGCCCCATGTTGGCATTCTGAGGGGGCAGCGCTAATTGAAGCTCCCCTCTTCTTTGATCGATTTCCTCCAAGATGGCCCCAAGAAGCGCCCAGGAGGCACCAAGAGGCCCCAAGATGGCCCCAAGATGGCCCCAGGAGGCCCCCAGGAGGCCCCCAAGAGGATCCCAAACGGCCCAAAGAGGCCCCCCCGAGGCACCCAAGACGCCGAAAAGCCCCTCAGGACGACACTCTACTCGCCTGGGCGTCGTTTCTGGACGGGCTGGTGGGGATACGCGAAGCGTCTAGAATTTGTTGGGAGGGCCTGGGACCCTCGGGCCGGGTCAGGGCGGCTCGGTAATCCCCCTGCGGGCGGACAGTCAACGAGAAGCGAAACCTACTGGAAACGGTGCGCAAACATGCACGCACATAAGTTGAGCATCGCCCGAATCGTACTTTTGTTCGTTTTGGCACGATGCGCAAAAAAGACACGCCCATAATTTAAACATCGCCCGAATAGTATTTTGGCTTTTGCTGAGCATCCCCCCGGGGGACACGCCCGACGGGGAGGGGGGGGCCCCCTCGGGCCCTCCAGGCTCGGGCGGCGGGGGGCCCCGCGGGGCCCCATCGAGCCCCTCTTGGCTCCCCGGGCCCTTCTCGGGAGCCCCGCCGGGGATGTCCTCCCCCTGACCGCCAGGCCACCCAGGCTCTGGACCCGAGCGCCGGAGGACGGTGAGGGGGAGGGGGGAGGGGGAGGGGGGGGAGGGGGAGGAGGAGGAGGAGGAGGAGGAGGAGGAGGAGGAGGAGGAGGAGGAGGAGGAGGAGGAGGAGGAGGAGGAGGAGTTTCTGAACATCCACCGGTGCGAACGCACGGTGGCACCACCCCTAAGGCGCCACCGTCAAAAAGTTAGAGAAAAAACAGCCTGCAAACCGGCCAGGCGAAGCACTTAAATTTGTACCGCTAAACCGGCCAGCGATTTTGTCGGCACCAATGCTTCGGTGATTGACCGCAGCCGCACATGCTCGAGAACTACGTGGTACGACGGTACCCACAAAGGTCACTCGCCCGTCCACGGACCGCTTTCCAGGGAGACACCTGCGAACTTGGGGTGCTTACCTCGACACACCGCCGACCAAGCGCTCTTGGCTCCCGAACTTTGGGGAGCACCATCACACTTTTTGAGCAGGTTGCGAGGCTGGCCATGACCTGAGTAGGCTTTGCACTTCAGACAAATGACCAGGGCAGCTCCGTCCGAGCAGGCCAGCGAAATATCATTATGCTGGAGGCTGGCGAGCTTGTCAGGCTCAAACTTAGAACAGCGGTTACACGCTCCAGGAGGGGGAGGATCAGGGGCAGGAGGAGGAGGGTGCAGAACGTGCTGATTACATCGGGGGGGAACCCCCCCGTTCGCCACGTCGGGCGCCGTCGCGGCGGAGACCGCCGAGCTCGCGGACGCGCCCGCGCCGAAGTCCCCCTGCGGCAGCCCCAAAAGGCCAAGACGAGCCCCGCTCACACGGGAGTCGGCCGAGTCCCACAGGGACTCGGCCAACGCGCGCGCGAGCCCAAGGACCCGCCACCGAAACCAAAACCGCAAGCCAAAAAAGGCCCCGCCGAAAAAGAGCCCAACGAGTCCGAGCCGCTCAGCCCGAGGGAAACGTCGGGGGCCCCTCGCCCCTGGAGCCCAGCCAAGCCTTGAACTCGTCGGGCTCGGCCCAGTCGAACCCTTCGAAGAGGACGCCCTCCAGCACGCGCGGCCCTGTACTTGGCGGCGTCCGCCTCCGAGCCGTTGGCCTCGGTCGAGTCGGCCTTATTGTCCTTCTTGTCCTTGTTATGATTATTACTGTTGCCAGCAAACTCAAAGACCCCGATGTAAAACTCCGAAGGGCCAGCCGCAAGGTCACCGGCACCTTTGACGCTGGGCTCCAGCATGCACTCCCCGCCGCCTTTGCTGCCGTCATTGACGCCGCCCCTCTCCGTGGGATTCGTCCCGCGGTCCTTCTGCCCTCCACTATCGTTCACAGAGGAGCTGACTCCGTCACGGTGGTGTCCCTGACCTTCTCAATGTACTTGTCCCAGCGCTTGAGCTTCTGGAGCGCCCGCGCGCCCCAGACCTCGTCCTCCTCAGGCGCTGCCGTCGCTGACGAGGCCTCCTCCAGCACCTTCGTCCTGATGCCCTCCTGCTTGAAGGGGCCCAAGGACACACAAATAAATACACACACAAATAAAAGGATTCCCCATATTTTCCCATATGTTCTGGGTTTTTGTCTTCCCCCCCAATCCCTATATTCTCCAATATTTTCCTGGGAATCGACGATGAATTGTGTCTGTGTGTTTTTTCCCCTCCTGACTGCTGCACGTCGCAGGTCGTCAGCTCCAGGATCTCGAGCCACTGGCGCTCCCGGCCCTCCTAGCCCCTGGCCTTCTTGGATGGAGCGCGGCGGCGGCGACCCCGAGCGAGTCTTTGATGACGCCGCCACCGCCTCCTCGCGCGTCATGTGGAGCGGCTTGCCCGCCACCTGCGGCTCCTCCTCGAGCTTCTCCGAGTCGGTGTCCCCCATTCTGTTGTCTTCGGGAGCGGCCAAGAGGGGGGGGGGGGGCAAATCATGACCGGCGGCACGTGCGCGGCCCAGCGGGGGGGCCAGGGACGTAATGAAATAAGAAGAGGCGCCATGAAATCTGGGGAAATATCATGGCCCCCGCCATGATATCCACCCCCCCTAGTCATCACCCCCCTCGTTTCCGCCCCCGATGTTTTGTTTGTCCTCCTTCTTCTCCCTCCGAGATTGCCTCGTCGCCTCGTACTTCGCGGCCTTGTCCTCCGAGCTTGGGGCCTGCTGCGCCGTCCGACGAGGCAGAGGCTGCGCCCGAGACGTCGGAGGGCCGCAGCCCAGCCCCAGCGCCTCCAGACCGTCCCAACACAACCCGAAGACCCGAATTTCGGGTTGGGGGGGGGCATGGGCTTCACATGTGTTTTTTCAATGTTTTCGCCCCCCCCCCCCACTGGAAATGGAGGGCAAATTGAAGCCTTCGGGTTGGGTTGGGGTGGTTTGGTGGGTGGTGACTTCAGGCTAAACCCGCTCACGGCCGAGCTCGACCGCCACCTCACTCCAGCGATGACGACCGCTGAGCTCCTCCACAAAATCACCCACCGCGTTGACCCCGTCCTCGAAGAAGATGAGGTCGGAGGCAATGCGGATGACCAGACGCATGCGACGCTCCGTGCAGCAGCGCCCTTGCAAATTGCGTCGCGTGACGCCGAGCTGGCCGCCACCCGCCGCCGTGGGCCGCGCGCGTGCCGGGCAGGGGGGGGCGCCGAGCTCAGCCACAATGGCTTGAGCCAAAATGGCTTGAGCCAACATGGCTACGGGGAGAAGACGGAGGAAGGAGGAAAAGGAGGAGGAGGAGGAGGAGAAAGAGGAGAAGGGAGGAGGAGGCGGAGGAGGAGGAGGAGGGGGAGGGAGCAGGAGGAGGAGAGGTGGAGGAGGGAGGAGGGCGAGGAGGAGGAGGGCCTCCGGGGCGGAGGAGAAGGAGGAGGAGGAGGAGCAGGAGGAGGGAGGAGGAGGAGGAGGAGGAGGAGGAGGAGGAGGAAGGAGGAGGAGGAGGAGGAGGAGGAGGAGGAGGAGGAGGAGCCTCAACGCCTGGCACCACGAAGCGCCAGAGGGCCTGGGGCCGTCTCAAGAGCTCAGGAGCCAGAGGGCGGGGCCGCGCCGCGGGGGCCCTCTCCTTCGCGGACTCTCCCTCCACAGGAGAAAAAATCAAAAGTAGGGGACTATCCTTCGATTTGTGAAACATCTGACTATATCTGACTATGTTCAGGAGGGGGTGGAGGAGGAGGAGGAGGAGGAGGAGGAGGAGGAGGAGGAGGAGGAGGAGGAGGAGGAGGAGGAGGGGAGGGAGGAGAAGGAGGGTGAGGAGGAGGAGGAGGAGGAGGAGGAGGAGGAGATGGAGGAGGAGGTGGAAGGAGGAGGAGGGGCCCCAACGCGATCCAGGCCCCCTCCGATCTATCCATTGCCGGCTACCCGCGATATATGTCTGCGGCCCCGCCTCTGGGCAACGCGGGCGCCCACGGCGGGGGGGCGCGGGGGGGCCAGACACGCAAAAACAAAGACGCAGCTCCAGCTCACAAGAATGCGCGCGCGGCCCCAGCACGCGTGCGTGGAGTGGTTGGATCGAGTGCGCAGTCGGAGAAAACAATCAAGTTAGGTCGGGCATGTCCTCCTACAGGGTGCTTTTGGGAGATAGCCCAAACGTGCTCAACAGTAGTCAACAAATAATCGAAAAACCGTCCCCTGACTCTATTTTGGCTACTTTTGAATGTTCCTCCTGTAGAGGGACGTGCCCGATTTAACAAGAAAGCTTCCATTCAACTTCGCTGTGCAAAGACACCACGTCAAATCAACCAACACAAAACAACGACCGGGCAGGCAACGTGCCCAAAACATGCGCGAGAGACCCCTGGCGCCGATAGGGAGCCACTTGCGAACCCTACCCCTACCCCCCACGACTTCTAAGGGGGAGGGTGGGGTTCACTTCGTTGGGGAGCTCTCGAGCGAAGTGAACCCCCAGGGGGGTAGGGGTAGGGTTCGCATGTGGCCCCTGGCGCCGACCCCCCGCCGCGTGGGCCCCGTCCGCGCGGCCGCTGAGGGCAGCGCCGGCCGCGCAGCCACAGCCGGCCGCGGCGGGCGCTGTACCGCAGGGGGCGCTGCGCCAGCAGGTCCTGTTCCCCGTGAGCGCGCTGTTGTCGTGGTCGCTCTCGTTGTTGTCGTTATCATTGTTTTCATTGTGGTCGTTGTCGTTGTTATCGTTGTGACCGTCATCGCCATCGTTATCGTGGTGATCGTTGTCGTTGTGATCGTTGTCGTCATCGGTGTGATCGTTGTTACCGGTGATCGTTATCGCTGATCGATGTTATCCTTGTTATCGTTGTTATCGTTGTCGTTGTTATCGTTTTGATCGTTACCGGCATCGCTGTCGTTGTTCATCGTTGTCGTTATATCGTTGTGCTCGTGGTGATCGTGATCGTTGATCGTTGTTATCGTTATCGTTGTTCTCGCTGTTGTCGTTGTCAGCAGGTCCTGCCCCAGGAGCGCGGCGGGGCCCACGAAGGCGCCGATGGAGTCCTGCCCGTCGGCAGAGAGGGACGAGCGAACCGAGCGCGCGAGACGTCCTCAGTCGGGATCCCCCAAATGGGGGTGACATGAGGGGGGGCATGAATTCGGTCCGCTGGTGCACCGCACCGCCGCGAACAGAGTCCCCCAGCATGCCCCGCCTGTCGGCAACTATCGGGAACTGCCTGTCGGCAACTATCGGGAACTTGCTTTGGCAGAAGGAAAAAAAACGCCATAAACATAAACTTTTGGCGCTCAGCACGGATTTCTTGGATCTGCGCCGGACCCTCCTCCCTGGCGCGCGGAGCGCGCCAGGGGTGGCGCCAGAGGCTTCGACAAGGGAGTCCAGCGCACATCCCAAAAAGTCCGCGCGGAGCGCCCACAGTCTATGTTTTGTGTGTCGTTTGTTCTTCGTCGATGTGGGCGACGCGGTGTGAAAGCCGATCGAACTCTCTCTCTCTCTCTCTCTTTTTTTTTCACACACACACACACACACACACACACACACACACACGGGGGGGGCACACCTCGGAGGCGGACAGACCTCCCTTTCATACGCCACCCTTCAGTGACAACGGCCTAGGACCGAAGTCGACGGACCTGGACCCGCACAAACGACGGCCGCGACGTCTCCTCGCGAACCGAAGACGGCCAATTCGCTGATCGACGGGTCAGGGCAGCAGAGCCTAGGGAGCCCACAAAGGACGTACGCGCCCAGCTATGTACATGCGCACGGCCCCTTGACCCGCGAGACCGGCCGCGTGATACGAGTATTCGCGCAATGCGAAATCTCGAAAACAGCGTGGATTCATGTACGTGTACGTCCTTCTTTCGCTCCTGAGAGCCCAGAATCGAATCGCTGAGTCGGATCGGCCATCGAAATGGACCGGATCGGCGGAACTCGGCGGCCGAGCCGGGAAAAGTCGAATCGGCGCACGTCGGCAGGCTAGTAGGCCTCCAGAGAGGGACCGGAGCCCAAATCGGAACCCGAAGACGGATCGAATCGAAATCGGAGGCCGTCGAAGTCGAATCGAATCGGAGGAATTGAAACGGGCCCTGTCAGGGTGGGGGGTCTATCAACACCCGGGGCAAACCCCCCCTTGAGCGATCTCCCGACTCGGGCGGAGGCGGGCTGGCCGGCGGCCTGCGCGGAGCGACCCGGGGCCACTCGCCCGAGCGGCCACGGGGATCCGAAGCCGCGGCGGGACGCCACGGGACGTCCCGGTGCCGCGCGCCCTCCTCGGGGCCCCTCGCGTCGTGGAAGCATCACGGCGGGAGGTCTTTCGCTCGTTTCGGCCTTCTGGCGGCCCTTTCCCGGGCTCCGGGGCCGCCAAAAACTGGGCAGTCGAAGCCAAACTGGCGCCCATCTGGCAGGCCCAATCTGGCAAACGGGGGCAATCTGGCGAGGGAGCCAACGCGAATCCAGTCTGGCGAATAACCCAAGTCACCCAATACGGCCAGGCCAGATTGGCCCTTGGGGCCCAATCCAGTCTGACAGTCTGGCCTTCGACTACCCAGAAAAAACTACGCAGGATGAAAAACCAGCCCCAGGGACTGGGTCGAGACGTCTGGGGGTCGACGTCATGAGAAAATCATGACGTCTGGAGTCTGGGAGGCGCGCGTCCGACCCGAACATCTAGTATGACCATATCGTAGCATATCATTTCCCGAGAGGTGCTGCCAGGAAACGCCCGCCACGACGCGTATACTACAAGAGTTTTCGGTGCGTGCGTCGCCCCTGGGGGGGCGACGAACAAATAGTAGTAGTATGTTGGGGTGCCGCCGACACGGGGGCGGTGAAGGCGTTCTTATCAGTATGCCGAGGGTTTTGCGCTAGACGTGCTACTGCTCGACACAGCAGCGCGACGAAAACAGGATGATATAAAAAGGCTGAGCAATCCGCCACCGTGCCTTCAGCACGGAGTGAAGTGCCCCCAGGCTCATGCAGCCCTGCATTCCGTAGTGGTACAGGAGTTGTGAGGGGTTGTACATTTCTCACTGCGGAGGAGGAGGAGGAGGAGGAGGAGGAGGAGGAGGGGAGGAGGTGGGGATAGCGGCAGAGCAGGCCTCCTGGCCTGCCTCGAGTGCGGCTCTGCCGACACTCCGCTGCGGAGAGGCGCCCCCACAAGAGGGGCCTTGCAGGGGTAGAAAGGGGAGGAGGGGACCGCGAGGAGGGAGGATCTACTCCTAGGTCGGACATGTCCCCCTATACGCGGATTTTGAAAGAAAATTGACAAAGAATCAAAAAGACACACAACTAGTCAGAAACAGGCGGAGCAAGCAGACTATGTTTGAATTGTCCACCTGCAGAGGGACAAGGCCGACTTTGTGGGAGGGGGAATAGGGAATAATAGG